CACACACACACACACACACACACACACACAAAGTGTAGCCCAGTCTGGCCTTGAACTTGCTGCAAAGCTCAAGATGCCCTTGAATGTCTGGTCCTTCTGCCTTTACCTCTCAGTGCTGGGATGTACAGACCCGAGCCACCACAGTTTGGGCTGTGCTAGGTCTCGTGTGTGCTAAGCAAGCATTCTACCAACTGAGCTAGATCCAGACTGTTTCAGCCTGTGGTGTTTCACAGCACGGCTATGTAAATAGACTGATAGCCTCGGCGTGCATGTGTCTGAGGCCTTCAGAAACAGGTCCAAGCCCTCTGAGACAGTGAGGTGCTCCATGTCTGTCATCCCTTGTGCTTTATTCACGTCACCATGTGACTTCTGGTGCCAGTGCAGCCAGACGAAATCAATAACGTGACTGAAAGGTCTCCCAGGATATTGTGCTGGGTGGCTGTAAAGGGTGCATGTAGTGGGTAGAGCTATTCCTTAATAACTTCACCAATAGGTGCATCCTTCCACACTACTCCAACAGGGTCCCGGAGAGAGGACTCTAGTGAGTCACTGGCAAAGCAAATGGGGCCCTTCAGCTGGAGAAGGTTCTGGATTTAACCACCAAGTGTTGAAATGCAAAGCTACAGCGGACCCATTTATCTGTTTTTAGGAACTTGCGTAACTGATGGCAGTAAGAGTTATTGTGAATTTGGTCAGAGATTCTATTTCTCTGGAAAGGCCAGATATTTACCACAAAGGACAAAGTCCTTAGAGATCCAGAGCTTCGCAACAAGCTGGGCACAGTAGTTCACACAGACCCAACACTCCCAAGGCAGAAGCAGGAAGAGTATTACCAGTTTGAGGCCCTGCCTGATCTACACAGAGAGTTCCAGTGTATCCAGTGATGCACGCGTGGAGACTCTTATTTCAAACCCTCCGGAAACAAAGACCAGCCAAAGGAGTGAGGCTCATGCTTAGCATGGCGTTTACTGATGCGCTAATGAGGGCAAGAAGAACATACTGTCCCGCAGCCTTTTCAGACTTCTACAGAGAGACTCAGTAGGGTCACAAAGGCATGGACGAATCTTCTAGGTAAGCCAGGGTTTGAAGGGTTTGAAGTGATAATAGTGATACAAATTATTTGATAGTCAGTGATCCTTTCTCTCATCTTGGTGAACTTAACCAGGGAGCTGGAATGATAACCAGGGAGTGACTAATGGCCACCAAGAGAGGCGACTTCTGGTTACTCATCCAGTCAGAGTGGTAACGTGTGACGTGTTTATGACTAGTTCATGATCCACCATGGGTCTTGCCCTTACTTCCTCCAAGGAGCCAGCTCCTGTCCCAGTCCTGCTTTTCTTCAGAAGTATGTCTAGGGGGATGAGAAGACGGCTCAGTGGGTAAAGGCACTTGCAGACAAGCCTCACGACCTGCCTGAGTTCAATCCCCGGGACACACATGATGGAAGGAGAAAAAAATTGTTGTCCTTGGACCTCCACATGCTCACAGTGACATGCGTGCAGCTACACTAACACACAATTAATTAATTAATTAAATGTAATAAAAAAAACCCCACACCATTTCTAGAGATGTGGGAATGAGGGGTTCCAGGAGGAGTTTTTTGGTGGGGAGTAAGAGTGGATACAACTGAAATACATTGTATACATGTGTGATGTCCTCAGAAGATAAAGAAAAATTAAATATTATATTTAAGAGTTTCTTCCATGGGTGTTTTAAGAGAGAATGTGTGTTCTCAGCAGCAATTTTTAGTGAGCTGAACCCTTCTGTGAGCGAAAGAACCAAAGCTTGTGGCACTGCCTGACTCCAGTCCCCTCTACCATGTAACGGCCATGCTGTCACATTCAGTTATTTTTGTCCTGAATTTCCCACCCGCGGATAATTGGAAGGAAGATGAAAACTGATACTCAATGCCGTCGTCTTCGAGACATTCACTATTCCTTGGCCAGCCTGCCCCCTCTTTTCAGAGTGCTTAGTAGAAGATGAACCCTGGCATCAGAATGTCTGGGTTTGGATCTTACTCTGATGCTCATTAGAGGAGAGAATTTGCTTGTAACATAAAGGTAACAGGCTGGGTGGCGGCGGCACACACCTTTAATCCCAGCACTCAGGTGGCAGAGCCAGGTGGATCTCTGTGAGTTCGAGGCCAGACTGGTCTACAGAGTGAGATCCAGAACAGGCACCAAAACTACAAGGAGAAACCCTGTCTCGAAAAACAAAAACAAACAAAAAAAACAAAAAAACCCATAGAGGTAACAGTGCATCTACCCAAGGGTTATTGAGAGAGAGGCATGAATGAGTTAATTCAGACGTGGACCACATGACGATTAAAACAGCTGCTAAGTTTCTATCACCTAGTGACAGTGGGGCCTTGACAATATTTGGGCACAACTCCTTACTCATCCAGGAGTTGTGCACTCTTATAATCCCAGCACTCAGGAGGCTGAGGCAGGAGGATCACCAGCAGTATGAAACCAGACTAGGCTACATAGTGAGTTCTATGCGAGCCTGCACTACAGAGTGAGACCCCGTCCCAAACAATGAACACAATACCTTCCTCTCTTGTTTGTAGTGATGCTGGTGCAAGACTACTTCCTTGTGCCAATTGTACAGCTCGGGCCAGCAATATGGCTCAGAGTTTAAAAAAAAAAAAATTGCTGTACATGCCTGATGACCTGAGTTTGATTCCTGGAACCTCCGTACATGTGTTGTGACACGGATGTGTCTGTATTCACACACACACACACACACACACACACACACACACACACTAATAAATAAAAATAAACTTTATGCATCATAGCACATAGTTACACATAGTATGTAATATTTGATAAGGTTTATAAAGGACTATGTAACTGGTCTATTCCTTTGTTATATTTTATCTCCGTTTTAAAATGTACTCCTATTGTTAAACAAATAAAGACAGGGCCTGGAGAGGTGGCTCAGAGGTTAAGAGCACTTGTTGCTCTTGCAGAAGACCGGAGTTCAATTCCCAGCACCCACATGGCACTCACAACCAGCTGTAACCACAGTTCTAGAGGATCAAACAGGCACACACATGGGGCACACACATATATGCAGGCAAAACAGCCACACACATAAAGTAGAATAAGTATTTTTAAAGTGAATTATTTTTTAATTTAAATGACAGTAAAACAGTATGGCCTTATCCACCTTTCATGTTTACTACATCACTGTGCATGCACGTGTGTGTGTGTGTGTGTGTGTGTGTGTGTGTGTGTGTGTGTGTGTTACTGGGGATGGAAACTAGATCTTCACACATGCTAATTTCTACCACTGAGCTATATTATCAGTCCCTTTTCATATTTTTCACTTTAAGATCAGGTCTCGCTCACTTGCCAAGGTCAGCCTTGAACCTACTCTATTAGCCTTAGGCTTTGAACATAAGATCCTCCTTGTCAGCACCCAGGTGGCTGGGATTACAGGCCTACACCGCCATACCTTGAGGCTGAATCTCTTGATTGCACCCAATCAATTGGTTGATCAGTATCATCGAGGCTTGTCTAAGTGCATTCTGCTATATTGATTGGAGCACAGAAGCACCTCACACTGCCCTTCTCAGAAAGCTCCCCATTATTAATTCACACTCAACTGTGCCTGTCCAGGGTTCAGCTCAGTGCCTGGCACTATTAGTGAGTGCAAGGTGGGCGTTCATAGATGTTAGTGTCACTGCTGTCATCGTGCCCTCCGAAAACCCTGACTCATTTAGCCTCAGAATAGAAACTGGCAAAGCTGGCAGATGCAAAACATCTATGGACAGAATGGCCCCATGTCTTACAAAACCACGACAGCTCATTGCCAATGGCACTTGTGATGACTCACTTTGCCACTTCCATGACAAATCCCTGACAGACATCATCTATGGGAGGAAAGTCTTACTTTGGTTCACAGTTTCAAAGGGATTTCAGTCCATCACGATGGGATAGATATGACATGGTGATGATGCTCACGTCAGCAACAGAAGTTTATGTGGGACTAGAAAAAGTGGTTACTTCCTCCACTTTGGCAAGGACCAAATTCCTAAAGTTTCCAAAAACTCCAAAATAGCACACAGTTGGGTGAGGTGGTACATGCCTTTCATCCCTGCAAGAGAAGCTTTGTGAGTTTCAGGCCACCAGGGCTACACAGTAAAACTTTGTCTCAGAAGCAAAACAAAACAAGACCCAAGAGCACCACAAACTAGAGACTGATCATTCAAAATGTGAGCCTATAGGGCACATTTCCGGTTCAAATGACAAGAGACCTTGCAGCTATGAGAACTGATCTCTCAAGGGATCTTACAAGGTCAGTACTATAAGTATATCAAATAAATCATCTCATATTATACCTTTCTTGCCTAAGATTTTGGGTTATGGACACGGGCCCCCTTCAAAACTCAGGTGCATACCTTTTGCAGCCAGAAGTTTTCCTGTGTCTTGCAGCTGCTTGGTTCCAAATAAACACACAGAGGATTATTATTAATTACAAACTGTTCGGTCTTCAACTTGGAATAGATGACAGACTACATTTACACACACACACACACACACACACACACACACACACACACACACTCGTTGTATGTAATATATTTCACTGACCTCAATTTAAGATTCCCCTGCTTGTAGACATGAGAAAATTAAAAAAAGAAAGTTCTGGAACAGAAGCTTCTTTCCAAAATTCTTTGAGGCTTGTCTCCATGGTGACAGTTTCAAATGCCAAGTTCCAGGGCCACGTCTTCGTATGATGAACTTCGGGATCCAATTATTCTCATTATTATTTTTAACTTCTCCTCCTGCAGTATTTCCCTGTCTTGGCCCATATACTAGAATCACATGGAGGTTTTTCAAAACTCTCCGGGCCCCAACCACACCCTGATTGACTCTATGAGAATCTCTAGAGGGTGGGTGAGAGCAAGCCATCCTCATTTCAAACTATCCTTGGCATTTTGAGCTCCCTAAATGACTTGGACCCCTCTGCAGTTATTATTTTCTCATTGCTGAGACCAAGCACCTGAAAAATAAGCAACTTCAGGGAGGGGGACGTTATTTTGGCTCATGGTTTGAAAGGGTACAGTCAGTGAGGAAAATTTGTAGGTGTTCACGTGAGATTGGGTGAGACTACTCATGTCTTGGATGACCAGGAAACAGAGAACCCTGGCAGAAACCAGGCGGGGTTATTAACCTCTAATCCTTTCTCTGTGACTCTTTATGTACCAGCCAGATCTCTGTATTCATTACTTGTAAATTGACAAAAGCAATTTAAGGGAGGGAGGGGCTGGAGCTGGAGACATGGCTCAGTGGTTAAGAGCACTTAGTGCTTTTGCGAAGGACCTGGGTTCGGTTCCCAGCACCCACACAGTGGCCCACAGCTACTTGTAACATTAGTTCTAGGAAATCTGATGAATCTTCTGTCCTCCACAGGTTCCTGCATGTATGTGGTGGACATACACTCATGGTGAACATACACT